GCCCTGTGCTCGGCACTCCCGGCCGCCCGGGAAGGCGTTTGCCGGAGCAGAGGAAATCGGTGGCACGGGGCTCCCCCATCTCCAGGGGACCCGCTCATTCCCTCGGATTGCTGAAGTCCTCCTACATTCCCACCTTAAATGTTCAGCCCTCAAAAACCCAGCATCTTGCGACAGAGAAGCGCTCTGTCAGAAAACGTCTGGTCCACGCAGCTGGAGAAGGTTTGTGGCTGACGTGTGACGAGTCCCTGCGGTCCCCGTGCCTCTCCTGGCAGACAGACTGGGACAGAAAACGTGCTCCATGCCACAGCAGCACAGCGGGGACGTTTTAGACATCCGTCCTTCACCTCCGAGAAGGGGGACAGAAGCAGGAGGAACCCCTCTTGGTCAAGGGCCAGCGCTGACCCTGCTCACAATTAATGTCTCTCATCTCCTCCATGGTGCCTGCTCGGAAAAAAAAAAATGTTTAAAAAGCAATGTACGGCAGGGCGAAAGCTCTCCTTTTTCCTGAAGGGGCACAGGCAGGAGGGGGCCGGGCGGTGGGGAGAGGGCTCTTCGGTCCTGTCCCCGCCGACCTCGTGGGAGTTCGGTGCAGCCCGGTGTGTGCCGTCACCACAGTTCAACCCAGAGCTGACCTGCATGCCTGTCACAGCGGCTCTGCCTCCGTAAGTGGGGATGGAGGAGGCACAGGGATGGTGCCTGGATGTGGCCAAGGGCACCCACCCACAGGAAAGATCACAGCTTTTAAGGAAGAGATTGCAAAAGAAGCAGCATGAGGGATTAAAATTAAGATCTTCTTTAAAAAGAAACTTGTGTCTCCTCTTACACTGGAAACCAGCCCGGTTTTGGACTGCAGAGCACTCTAGATCACATCACGATCTCGGCAGAAACTCAGGGTAAGCAAAACCAATTCAGAACACGGCCACTGGAGCATTTTTACATTTGGCAGATATCGGCAGTGAAAACAACGACACATTCTGGCCCAGGCTCAAACTGCTTCAGTCTGTGAGCGCCATCAGTGCCACAGAAGCTGACGTCTCCAGCCGATGTTCCTCTTCACACCGACCTGCCGCCCCTCTCCCACCGCGCCGAGCTGCCCCGTGCTCGGCCCTCCCGGCCGCCCGGGAAGGCGTTTGCCGGAGCAGAGGAAATCGGTGGCACGGGGCTCCCCCGTCTCCAGGGGACCCGCTCATTCCCTCGGATTGCTGAAGTCCTCCTACATTCCCACCTTAAATGTTCAGCCCTCAAAAACCCAGCATCTTGCGACAGAGAAGCGCTCTGTCAGAAAACGTCTGGTCCACGCAGCTGGTCTCCAGGGGACCCGCTCATTCCCTCGGATTGCTGAAGTCCTCCTACATTCCCACCTTAAATGTTCAGCCCTCAAAAACCCAGCATCTTGCGACAGAGAAGCGCTCTGTCAGAAAACGTCTGGTCCACGCAGCTGGAGAAGGTTTGTGGCTGACGTGTGACGAGTCCCTGCGGTCCCCGTGCCTCTCCTGGCAGACAGACTGGGACAGAAAACGTGCTCCATGCCACAGCAGCACAGCGGGGACGTTTTAGACATCCGTCCTTCACCTCCGAGAAGGGGGACAGAAGCAGGAGGAACCCCTCTTGGTCAAGGGCCAGCGCTGACCCTGCTCACAATTAATGTCTCTCATCTCCTCCATGGTGCCTGCTCGGAAAAAAAAAAATGTTTAAAAAGCAATGTACGGCAGGGCGAAAGCTCTCCTTTTTCCTGAGAAGAGTGAGCTGTATCTCAGGGATGGCATCTGCTTACTTGCTGAAGCAGGTTGAGTAATGTGGGGACCGCAATGACTCAAAGCCTCTTCCCCTTTTCCTGCTCACAATCACCCTGCCAAGCGCCTCTGAAAACAAACACAGTGCATTTCAGTTCCTCAGGCAACCCTCTTTTACGTTTCTGAAACCCAGTGACTCATCTCCCAACAAGCCGAGAGGAGAAACAAATAAAATCTCCCATCAGAGCAAAGAGCGGGACCTTGGCCGGAGCTGCCACCGCAGCCCCACGCGGTGATGCCGAGGGGCGATGCCGTGCGCCCCGTGCCCCACACGCACCCCATCCCTCCAGACCAGCTGCCGTCTCGCTGGCTGGACCCAGAGCTGCACGAAGCCAAGCCAAGGGCAGAAGGGGAGCACGAGCCAGACCCTGCTGCCCCCGGGGGCGGGGAAGCGCGAGCCAGCCCCGGCTGCCCACGGCGGCTGCTCATGGATGTCCAGGGAGATCCCAAAGGATGCTCCGCTCCAGCCTCCTCCGCGCCGGGGCTGGGGTGACGGGCAGCCTCGTGTCCTCAGCAGGGCTGGGGTGACGGGCAGCCTCGTGTCCTCGCTGGGGCCCGGGTGACGGGCAGCCTCGTGTCCTCGTCAGCAGCAGATGGAATTCCTGGGGCAGTGTGGCAGAGAAGCTGTTCACAAGCCTCTGGAGAGGCAGAGCAGGAGCACACACCACCACTGCTCTTGGGCTGCCCAGGGCCAGTGCAGAGCCTCCATGGCTCTGCGGCCAAGTCCAGCTCAGCGCTGAGCTCCCCAGCAAAGCGCACACAGCGACATACAGGTGCCAGGCAGCACCGCCAGACAACGTTTACCTCCCACTTTAAACCTCTCTAACACACTGTTGCTGTCGGCAGACGAGCGATGCGGCGCTGTGAACACACCGTCCTTCCATCCCTCTGGTCTCCTCCAGTGTGCCCGTGGTGCTGACACCTTCTGGGCAGACACACGGTGCTGGTTCCTCCATGCTGACGGCCATCGCCTCAGGAAGAGCTGATGGGAAAGGGGAGAGCAGAGAAAATACATTGACAGGGCTCTCCTTTTCTCCTACAGGTTTCTGTGGAGGGAAAGCAGAAAATCCTCATCTTCCATCCTCAGACCCCAGAGAGCTGCTCCTCTGGTCCTCCATGGGGAACTAGTCCTTGGTCAATCCCCGTCTCTGGCCCTCCAGTTCAAGAGCTCACAGCCTCTTTACAAGCATCCCAGTTCCCGAAAGCATCTCCAGTGCTGGTGTTCACAGAGGGACTCCCCATCGCACATCAGAGCAGACCCTGGCCTCTCTGGCACTTCCCCGGAGCAGCACTGGTCCATATCGGAGCTCAGGCACTGCTGGCACTGCTGGCTCCGCTCATCCCCACCGCCCTGCATCAGCTCCAACTCGTGGCCTCAGCCCTGGACTCCGGGCACTGCTCCATCCCGAAGGACCACAGCCTCCGTGGACAGACCCAAGACAGCTTTGGGACAGCTCGTTCACGATGAGTACCTGCTGCTGGGCTGCAGCATCATCTGTCAGACCATGCTTGCTGCTTCCTCGGTGTCGTTATCTCCACAGGCTGGAGATTGCTTTCCTCATCTTTAACATGGCACTCCCATGGGCTGCAACCTCTTCGGCCTTTGGGATTTTGGGTTGGGGGGGGAGAAATTTTCTGGTGTTATAAATTAAGTTCTTTCACAGGACTCTGGCATACCTGCTCCCTGACTTCGGCCTATAGTTCATCCACATTTCTCAGCCCAAAAAAAATACTTTCAATACTTTTTTTACTTTGCTTGGCTTTCCCATGCGCATTCAGGTCGTGCGCTTCCTTGCGGACATCCTGGCTCTGCTCTGTGTTTCTCCTACTCTTTGTACAGCTTCTTTGAGCTATGGATTTCTGGCTGTTTTGAAAGGAAACCAGAACAGTTGTGACACTAAGGGACTGATTTTGCATTCAAATAATTGGATAGACGATCACAGATTAGGAAGGATTGTATGCATTTAATGAAAAGAGAACTGGGTTCTCGCGTGGTCTGGCTGAAAAGGCAACACGAGGATGCTCCCGTGAGCAGGTCTAACCTGAGCAACTTCACACGTTGTGACACAGGCTCGTTGTCTGACAGCGCACAAACCTCCTTGGGACCATGATGAAATCTGCTGCATGATTTCAAACAAACAGCCTCTCTCCCCACTTTTTGAATACGGTTTTGTATTGTCACGCTTTGACATACTGACAAACCACACCAGCTATTTTAAGTAGCTAATCCTTTGTATCACCAACTTTTCCATTTGAGAAGTAGCTGGTAAGCCATGCGATGACTCAGAGTAACGGTCTGAGTACCCGAATGAGTGTCACCCTGTACGCCTTTCAGCATAGCTGCTAATCTGTGCCCTGTGCTCTTCTCTGCTTTCCTAATCAGAACATAAATTTCTCAGAATTCAGAGCAAATCTTTCAGCAAGTCGGTAACCGTTCCCTTCGGTGTGCACAAAGCAGCCCTCCTCCCCCCCAGATGCTTCACTGAAAGGTTTAGCATGCAGCCAGAGAATAAGGCGTTTGTCGGATATATACCAGGTCTGGAACATGGGCTTAGTGAAGTATTTTAAACAGACTTCAACACAAAGTCCATTGCAATGCTTTGGAAAGTCATTCGCAAAGAAAAAAACTTCATAAAGATATTGCAAGGAAAAATCCCAGCTTCCTTCAGTTTCCTTTGCATTTACCTTGAGCCCAGATCCTAGTGACAGGGCAGACCCTGACTCACGCTGGCATTCAGGATAGCAATATCTAAAGTAAGTTCTCTAATATTAAAGCGACAGAACCTTAAAATACAGCCCCTTGCTTCCAGCCTCCCAAGCAAGGCCAGTCCTCAGACCGCGAGGAACTGAGCTGTGAATTCAGCTCACGGCACGACAAACGCAGACAGGGAACACCGGCTGCAGAGCTCGGCGAGGAGTCGCATCCTCACGAATAAAAGAGCAGCCGTCTGCGTCTCGGCCAGGCTGTGCGTTTGAGCTCACTGTTCACCAACCCAAGCCGCACAGAAAATGACAGGAGGCTCTCCTAGGAGCAGAGCTCACAGAGGAAGCTCTCCTAGGAGCAGAGCTCACAGAAAGCTACCTGCTTCAAAGCATCCATCCTGCTAAGGCTGAGATGCCCACAGGGCATCTGCCCACGCTCGCCGTACCGGGCAGGAGGAAGGAGCGAGGCGTCCTCCTCGGCAGGACACGAACTGCGGCTCCAGGGACTCGTCAGCTGGCTCTCCTCCTCCGCCTCCGCCAGGTTCGGACCGATGGCTCCGGCGGAGCTGGTTTCCCTGAACACAAGAAAA